TATTAGCCTTGTAGATGGTGAAACACAAAAAGACTTGAGTTGCACACTTTCAAGTGAGAATTGACAGGATTTAAGAACAGATCAGACTGAGCTGAGCTAGGTGGAAAAAGGAGAGCTAGCAATAATAAATCTCAAAATCTTTGACAGGGCAGCTGGATGACTGTTTCTATTTACTCAGAAACAGGGTAAAAGTACTCTATTAGGGGAAAATTATTCAAAACTCAGTTTTGACCATGATATGTTTAAGATACCTCTGGGTAGATATTTTAAGAGAGGCAATCGAATATTCAAGATCTGAATTAAAAAATGATGCCAGTTTGGAGACACAAATTTGGAATTCATCAACTTTTGATAGTAGGAGAAAGAGAATTGATTTTTGAACCAGACAAGTTTAAAAACAAAATCATCAAAAAAGAACTAAGCCCAAAGTAGTGGCCTATTCTTGCAATACCAGCCTTTAGAAGGCTGGGGAGAAATGTCATGAGTTTAATGCTGCCCTAGAGCATGATGAATTTTAGATCACTACAGTGTGAATCCAAGTATGTGATGATTAAGACCTTTTTTATTTTCTTCTCCTTAGACCCTTAATCTAGACCTGTCATGTAGGTTAAACAGTTTACCCATCCAATACATGTTTTGAATGAGAGGCAACTGATGAATAGGAACTTGTATAAAATTTTTTGTAATATCTTCATTTCTCTTTCCATTTTTCATGCAAACACATTTACTGTGAGTATACTAGGTTTCAGTTAGAGTACACATGGTTGTGAAATTGTTCAGTCTTTAAAATATAGCCCTGCTATTGCAGAACAACAATTACCATGACACAACAACCCTAAAGGTACAGTATTGGCCCAGAAAACATGGCAGTAACCAACAGCTTTCTAATTGGACTTAAGGCCCACTCAGTAAGAGGGAAATCATGCTTGGTAATAGAAACCTAGCCAACTACTCTGGGCTGATGAAGTCATGGTGATTGGAAGAGAACTTACAACCACTGTTTTACTAAACCACTATAATCCCTAACATTCCAAGTGTTGGTTCTTAGGCCTACAGAGAAGAGTAGTCCTCACCCCTCATTAAGGGAACTTTTCTTGCAACAGATGGACAACATTACAGAAAACCACAACCAAAGAAAATCCAAAATTTTGGAGCCCTGTCTCAATGGATACATCTCCAAAACAACTCCCACAGCAAAGGCTCAGGGAACATTTCAGAAGAGGAGACAGAAAAGATTGTAAGGGCCAGGAGTTTGTTGTGAGATTGTGACTCTTAGGAATGTCAGAAGTTACACCCATAAAGTCTCACCAACATGACTGCCTAAACATGAGCTAAACAAGAACAACAATAGACAAACATACCAAAGTGGATTGAGGAAAGCCCAGGAGGCCTTGCAAAGAACTACAGACAGCTAAGGAATGCAGGGAAAAAAGACTTCCCCAGCCAAGAGCACATCAATTGGTTATCCAATATCAAATCTTCAGTCATGAAAACAAAATTATACAGACTGAGCAAGTTGTATTTAGAAATACATATGCATGCATATATATATATATATATATATATATATATATACAACAATTAATAAAAAATGGATACATGAATTTGAAAGAGAACAAGGAGGGGGTATATGGGAGGTTTGCAGGTAGAAAAGTGTAGGAGAAAATAATGTAATTCTATTATAATCTCAAAAATTAAAATATTTAAAAATATATAGTTATGCTATGAAGATTGCTATTAGCTGCTATCCAACATGGGTAGGCATATCTGTGTGTATACAGTTGCATACCTTCCATCAACAACTATTTAATGTTCACTGACCATGTATACAGAGGCTTAGCCTCTGTCCCTTGGTACCCCAAAGCTGATGCAAGGGGGAGGTATCAACAAACAGAAGCAGTGATCACAGCTGTCCGAGACAAGCAATATACTTCAGTTGAATAAATTGAATGTAAGTATATGCTGCTTTAGACTAAAAGGTTGTAGGGAGCTTCTTGGAGGTAAGAGATTTGAGTATAACATGAAACAAAATAAAATGACGAACAGATCTCTAAAATAACAGACACAAAACCAGGCAGCAGCTTTGAAATAATTAGTCTGTTTTTAATCATAGTACCCAGTATGGACTGTTACAAAAAAAATTTGTATTTATGATTTATTCAGTCACTGTAACAATCTTATAAACTTGTTGGTGGTATCTTCCCTGTCCCTTTCTTATAGACCAGAAACAGATGTGCAGAAAGGTCAAGCTCCAGTAAGCAGAACTGGGACTTGAACTCCGAAAATCTTCAGCCTGCACTTCATTCTTACTCTAGACTCTTATGAGTGAAGTGCAGAATTTCAAAATGCAGGGCCCAGGGGAGGAGTGTGTAGGGAAACTAATTGCATCTCTATGGTCTCCCTGTGTGGTGGGTGTCTTTGCCTCTCAAAAGGAAATAGTCTGATTCCTTTCCGGGAACCTAGTGGTTCTCATTGAGCCATGCTAGCATTCTCTTTCAGACTCTGCTCAGATTTTTGTCCCTAAGAACCCATGGAACCCTAAGAATCCAGAGCATCACCTGTGAGTTCATTAGGTAGCTTTTCTGACAATGGAAAATCCCAATTAATATCTTTGCCAGAATCTTCCGGTTCCTCTTACATTTGGCCGCCCTTTCCTGTGTGGTGAAAGTCAATATTTAAATATGAAATCTGGCTTCAGTGTTTTCAAAAAATTAATTCCATTATTAGAATTAGTTGAAAATAGGCTTTGTGTCTGTATGGAAATGGCTAGGAACAAGGCGGCCAGTAATACCCTAGGTTCAGTCTATTACTGAAATCACGACAAAACCCTGTACTGCACTGGTGGTCACAGCAGGTACAGTTCAGTAAGTACCATATCATAAGGCACAGTTTAAGACCCTCCAGGGAGGCGATACAATCAGTATCCAGGAAATAGGACCGGCTGTATCATGAAACCAGTGGCAAGCAAGTCACATGCTAAAAGAAAGATAATCAAAGTGATGAGCGAAAATTCACAGCCAGCTCGACAGCCTCTGGCAGCAAGGAAGGGCTGGGCTCCCAAGCACCATTGGATTTGTTTGTGCATGTCCAGTCAGGGTTCCTGGTTCAGAGGACTTTGTATTTTGTTCTTTTGTCTTCCAGATTCTATCACAGCTCTTAGGGGAGCTGTGGTCTCAGCCCAGAAAGGCAACATTTAAAAAAGGCAATAAGAAAGAAAGACAGCTAAAGCTTTGGGTGCAAGAAGACATTTGGCAAAACAATTTACAATGAACAATTTACAAAAAACAATGGACAATTTACATATGATTTTTTAAGGCTATAGATGTTTTCAGTGAAAGACCCCATTCCTAATTGTTGTCACATCTCCCTAAGTGTCGTTCCTACATGTTAGACATCATTATTTCTTTCTAGGGCTCATGCTTTGGTTTACTCCTTTGTAGAAGGGGAAAGAAACAGCTACCATGTAGGTAACATATTGAGGACTTAGGGTAGCAAGGCACAGTGATATCTTGGAAGCATTAATGCAGAGAGTGGACTTTCTTATGCTACCATTATCTCAGCCTTCTGTTTAAAAGGGGCTGGGCTAGAAAGAGTCATTGAATGGAACCTTCTAGATCACATGAGGATGGTAGAGGAGAAGGAGGGTGAGTGCAGAGTGTGCCTTGCCAGTGTGTGAAGGCACATAGGACCTTAGAGAGAGAGATGGGACACTGAGAACACTTTGATTGGGAACTCGCTTTGCTATGGCTTTATAATGCAGTGGCTCATATTATTCCAACCATAGCCACATGACACGCATACCTACAAATACCTATAAATTGGGAGCCCAGGGAATGACCCTCCCAGTTAGAGGGACAACAGCAGGTGAGAGGGAGACTGCAAGGGATGTGGCACTGAACACAGATTCCCAAGTCCACACTCCCGACTTTATACCATCTAATCAATGTTTTTCTTTCTTCCTTCTTTTCTGTTCTTTCTTCTTTTTTTGCAGTTTTGGGGATTGAAGCTTGGGATTTGTATATACCACTGAACTACATCCTGAGGCCTCAGCAAAGTTTCTATTTCCTGGCAAAAACCTCTTTCTTGAACTTTCCATGGTACCTTCTGAAAACAGTGGTGGCCCAGGAAAGAATGTTTGTTTTAATTATTTGAATCTGCTTATGCATCACGGTGTAACTTTCCTCTATGTGGCTCAACTGTGAAATCTGAAATGGTTCAGTGTACCCAATGACCCGGTCTTCCTTATCTCTAACCCTCTCTAATGGGTGAGTCACGTGGAAGAAAAACCATTGTCCTTCTTTGCCTCCAAGTACAAGTGTTACTTAACTACAGAAATGATAACTTAAAATTGCCTATGTATGTTTCTTATGGTCTTCTGAGGCCACTGAAAAGTACTCTGCTTCCCGTTTCCTAATTACCGGCACACAGGAGGTGCTCTACAAGTTTTCTTATGCATTAATTTTTAATACAGGATCCCTTAGCATTGCATACATATTTACAGGTTAGGAGCACCTCTGTGCATCCATCTGTACATCCATCACCCATCTGAGTGAACTTATATATTTACTCTAACTGCACGGTTGCCATGCTATTCTGTATGCACACACAGACCTATGAATATACTTAGTAACCATTGCTAAGTCCTGTTAAGTGACAGGCTATCATCCCAAAGATCTTATTTTCATTCCACTGATTTGAAAAGGAAATCTGGTGTATAGGAAGACCAGAAGGCATCACTCCCAGCTATATATTTTTTATTTGCTCTCACCGAAAATATATGCCAAATACCTGCTTTTTTAAAAAACAAAAACCAAAATGTCATCATGTACAGCTGGATAAAATACCCACAGCACCAGGCCTGGATAGGGCCTGGTTGCAGATTTGGGTGCACCTTGGCCCTGTTTCCCACCTTTAGAATGTATCTAACAACCCTGTCTGTTACCTGCTTTGGCTCCCACTTTAAATGTATGTGCTTTTTTTTTTTTCTTTTCCACATTCAGGCTGCTTAACACAGCACCATCGGTGCTTAATTGTTGGCATTAAGGTGTCTGAAGGGTCAGCTTCATGGGAAGGATGCCTGCTACAGAGATGAAGACCCTCCTCCCAAGACTGACGCCAATAGCTGTGTAACTGTGGGTAAGTTAAACAACCTTTCTGAGCTTGAGTCTGTTGGTCTCTAAAGAAGGAGGTACCAATATCTAACGCGAACATGTATGTAAAGATGAAAGGAGAAGTGATTCCCAGTGTGTAGGGAAGAAAGAGCACCTTATTAGGACACTGGCCACATCCTTGGGAAGGTGTGTCTTCTATCCATCCCCGCCCCAGGCCCCTTACATTACTTTTCTATCCGAAAGCCAGATGAAGGATCCCTTGACTAGCCACAGATCTGGATCTCCCCTCCTGCTTCCCTCACTACTGAGTGAGTAAGTATAACTATGTATCTACACACTCAAACTGCACCAATCACTGCAATGGCCCAACTCCTAGAGAGCAGAATACTTTCCATTAGTCACCTCATTTGAACTTTACAACAGTCCCCCGAGAGTTACAAGCCATTGCCACTTTGATAGATGTTCAAGCTGAAGGCCAGAGAGGTTAGTAGCTAGATCACTGTCATAGTTCAAAATTCAGGTCCCTGACTCTGAGTCCCCTGTGAGTTTTCTGTTATATCAACAACCATGGGGCTTTATCACTTACAAATGAAAGGCAATGGTATTCTGGAAAAAATAATGTTAGGAAGATAAATGTTGATGGTGGAAGGTCAGTGGATCCAGTCTTACCCTGTGCCATCACCCCCGCTCTAGAAATCTGTTCTGGGTCCCTCTATCCTGAGAAACCCTGCCCAGAATCTCTCTTACTCTGTTCCTGTCCATGACATGGCACCTAACTCAATTCCAAATGCTATTGTTATGAGTCATAATATAAATATCTGATATGCAGGATATCTGATATATGACACCTGTAAAAAGGTCTTTGATGCCCCCCAAAGGAGTCTTGGCCCACAGATTGAGAACCACTGCTCTAGGTCTACAAGGTGATCATCTAAAGAAGATGAGGGCCTAGTCCTGTACGATCTTGTTCAAAACCTCATAGCAACTGTGTTCCATCCAAGACTGAAGACCAGGCTTCCACTGGAACTTTTCCGATCAAACTGACATCCAGTTAAATTACTTGAATTTATTATTCTATGGGAAACATGCCCAATATTTCCACACATTCCCTTCTCAGTTGACACCACAACCCTCATAAGTAAGGCTCCGATGCTTAGACAAGAAAGTGCCATGCACAGTGTGGTGACATGAATAAGAATGGCCCTTAGGCTCATATGTTTGAATGTTCAGGTCCCAGTTGGTGGAACTGTTTGGGAAGGACTGGGAGGTGTAGCTTTGCCAGAGGAGGTTGTCACTGGGGGTGGGCTTTGGAAGTTTTAAAAGCCCATGCCAGGCCCAGTTTCTCTCTCATCCTCCTGCCTACAGATCAGCAGGACATAATCTCTCAGCTACTGCTCCAGGGCCATGCCTACCTGCCTGCTGCCATGCTCTTCGCCACAATGATCATAGCCTAAGCCTCTGAAACTGTAAACAAGCCCCCAATGAAATGCTTTCTTTTATAAGTTGCCTTCATCCCGGTGACTATTCACAGAAATAGGATAGTGACTAGGACACTCGAGGTCACATGGCTGACATGATGGGTCCCCAGGCCTGTCTGGCTTCATGACCTCCTTCTGCCACAGCTGATGCCTCTCTCAACAGCTGAGCTTCAGCACATCAGCACCTCCACAGCACAAGCAAGCACTTTAAGCCCTGCCATTGCCCCAGTAGGTTAGGACCCTTGCATCAGTGTGTTAGTGCATGGTTTAACTTTGAATCCATGTGTGGACTTTGGAAGCAAACTGCCTGCCTTTGAATCATGATTTTGACACTCATTAGCTACTGGCTTTGGCCCAACCAACTTGCCTAAACCCCGGTTTCCTCATCCATAAATGAGGACAACGATATACTTCCCTCCAGGGAGTAGGATTAAGTAATGTTATACTTATAAATCACTAAGCATGGCCTCTGACATGTATGGTATATGTGCGGTAAATGTTAAATGTAGTAGGGAAATGGAGGAATTTGTTTTTAAACCTCGGAGCTATTTTGTAATATAGTGTCTTAATGCCTTAAAACTCGTTCCTGTATAAGTCAGAATTCAAGCAGGAAAGCGGAGCCACAATAAGTGATGCAGAATTAAGAAGTTACTATGGGAGTTAGATCTTCTGCAAGTGATACAACGTCACAGACACACATCAGCAAGTCCTGAAACATCCTTTGGAATACCAGTGATAAAGAAATAATAAATACATGTGTGTATTATATGTGGCACATAAATATATATATATATATATTTTATATATGTATAATATATACATATATAAAAACACTGCAAATAAACTCACTAAAATGTTCATAGTGGAATTCTTTGAACAATGAGACAACAAGGAGTGCAATTTTTAATTTTACTTATTTGTTTTCTAATTTATATATTGGATGGCTGTTTAGAAAACAAATGATTTATTAGTATCTATTATTCATTAACCTCTTAGTTTTCCTAGGATTTCGTGCCTTGAAAAAGTTCAACATGAGAGTGGAGAGATGGCTCAGCAGCTTGGAGTGAGCGCTTCTCTCACAGAGAACCTAAGTTCAGTTCCCAGCACCCACCCAGTGAAAGCTCACTTGTGACTCCAGCTTCAGGAGACCAGATGCCCTTTTTTAGACCCCACAGGCACTTGTAGGCACATGTGTTCATTTCTATACACAGATGCCCACACACATATATAATTTAAAATGAAACGAATTTTAACAAACAAAATTCAAGATAATGCATTGGCACACTACAAACACAAAGTTATAACTGAGGAAGAGAAAGCAGATGAAACAGAGAGTCTCAATCCAGTGCCAGACTGTGTAGTCCAGTTCTCATTAGATAGCTGGGGACTATTGGCTGCAAAGCTGAGCCATCTGTCCAAGACCACAGGGCCCTGGAAATAACCTGGGACTTCACACTTCTAGCTAAGTGTATCCGACTATATATCAGTCTTTCTAAGGTTTCACTCATGGTTAATTTTATGATGCAGATAATGATCAAGAGAGGAAAAGATGGGAGAAATGGTCCTTCATCACAGCCTTAATTGATAAGAAGTGGAAATTCCCCCCCCCCCACGAAGGCACATTAAGCTGAACTGTTTCCACAGGTACCCTGGAGTGACCACAGTAGCATGCTGAGCTCAAACAGTCTCTCAGGTGGTGATCTGTGCCAGGAGAAGTGCGATTATTGCGTATGTCAGCTCTTGTCACTGTCATTTGCAAGAGAGATGAACTTGCCTATGGTAACTCCCTTGGCCACAACAGAAATATCATAACTGGACACTGATCCCAGAAAGCCTTCTTAGTAGTCAAGTTAAAACAGATACCCACTCAGATACAACAAATAATAACCAAGAAACGTCAAAAGGTCTAGTTTGGGTTTTCAAGAGTTTGTTTGGGGTCTCAAGAAAGTAATTGCAGGCTAATGAGTCTTCAACCCACACTAATAAAATAACCCCTCCCTTGCTACTTACTTAGACCAACTGTAGAATCTAGAGACTTATTCTTGGTGTAGATTAAAAACATCCCAAATAAAGAAAGTATATACTATATTTGATGATTTGTAACTACTATCTATGGGCAGGGTATTTCACATTCTGGCCTCTCTGGAAAATATAGTAATATTTAAACTCATCCTTTTATATCCTACTGTTCAGAGACCAACAAAGTTAACAGAACATTAGAATGTTATCATTGGAATTAGTTATAATTCTAGTATGGATGTTTAATGACATCAGGTTTCTCCTCAGAATGAAGTTGATCTCTTCGTATCCAATGCTCACATTTCTGGATGGTTGAGGCATGAAGGGAGTACAAAGAAAACACCATCCTTTTCCTGGAAAGCTATGTTACTTAATTTTCTTCTTAGAGCAAATCTCCCAGCCACCCTGCATAGCACAGAACACAGGCTTCTCTTTGATGTCACCACTCAACCAATGGATACTTTCACTTCCTCCCTTTCACCAGCAGATTTTTGTGAATTTGGGCTTCTCTGGTAACCATGTCAAATATCTAGAGCCCCTGATTCAATGTAGCATAAACAAAAGAAAAACAGATCTGAGAAAGAAGAGAGAGGGTGAGACAAGAGAGATGCAGTAATTGTCTTTGGATGGTTGGGAACTAATGAGAATTAATTAAGTCTAGAGCCAAAAAGTTTTCTCCCAGAACAGTAGGTCATGGCAACCCCAGACAGGAGCATGCAGGAGCAGGAACATGAGCCCTATTCGATGAGTAGGGATGTCACCACCCATTTGTGGTTCCTGCAAGAACACTAGAGCAAGCCAGGCCCTAACACCTTGCTTTGCTTTGACAAGCATGGGCCTGGCCTTTCAGGTACAGTTCTAGCAGGGATGGGCCTCCCCCCCCCCCCCGACTTGGGTTCAGTCTGAAGCCAAAGTGAGTCCTGTAAAGGCTCCAAGCCCTTCTTGATCCACACAGATACAGCTGCCCTGTGGATGATCGGTTGGACTAGGCGGCTACTCCTTCATCCGGCCAGCAAATCAGCACAAACCGAGGTAAGCCATGGGGATCTAGAAAAGGAGTGTGGGGCTTTCAAAAGATCCAGAAAGTCAAGAATTAGCCAGGGAACCCCTACATCTCTATGCCATTCTTTAACTCTGGAGACGTTTTCAAAACCCTGAACTTTAAACCAGGACTCCACAGCCTTACCAGATCCGGAGAGATGCTTCAGATGCGGCTGGATGCCTCTGGTGATTTGACCAGATGTTCTCCCTGCTGCATTCCCCGTAATCCCATGAACTTCCGCTCAAGTAGCTGATTCTCAGATGGGTGACGGAGAGGCCAGCCCCACAGAAGACAAAGCCAGAGCTCATAACCCAGTGCTCATCTGTGAGCTGTGCAGGAGGGATTAACCAGTCTATTGATGCAGGTTCTATTGGGAAATGCTGCTTTTTAAGGAAGTGCAACCTTTTAAATTTCCGAGTTGGACCTGGCAGCCTGCCAAGAGAAGGAGTGTATTAAACTACAGGAGAACCTGGTGAGCCGGGGCACCAAACTGGGCACAAACCAAGGAGGCTTCGGAATTCTCAGAAGATCTGAGGAGAAACGAGTAGGCAATCAGCAGGAACCTTAGCGAATACCAGTACGGCGATTTTGCTCCCTTCGGCTTGCCAAGTCCAGGTTTGGACATGTCAGTTTCCTCTACTGACTTCTTCTTCTTCTTCTTCTTTTTTTTTTGCCACAGTGCTACCATCTATATTTAATTGAATTGTGTGGTTCACGATCCCAGAACACAGGAGTTGTCAGCACTAAGTTTCAACTAGCCCCAACAGGGTTTCACCGCTCATTTTTTTAAAAATAATCTCAATATATAGCCTAACACCTCCACTTCCAGAGTTGGTTTTCTAAGAATGAATACAACTAGGGAATTATAATACTTGTTGGGTTCAGAGAAAAGGGAGACATTACTCTACATTTGAATCTAAAATATCAAAAGCATCCATTTCTTGGGTCTCTCTAGAAAAGAGAATAGTCTGTCCCTCAAGTTGACTCTTTCTATGTTTGGCCGAGCTGGGAAATTGAACAGTTGGAACATGAGCTTATGGGCTAGAGAGATGGCTCAGTCATCAAAGGCTAGGCTAACGACCAAAAATATTTATTTGAACTATTTGCTGGCTTAATCGTAAGAATTCAGTATCACTTAGTAATCACATTTGGGGTTGTGTGGGACTTCAATAGATGAAAATAAAATCTGTGACTATACATTTTGCCCCAGCTCATTTGTATTCAAAACAAAAAGGAAGAAGGAAAGATTATATATGAAGCATAGTACATGCCTACTACCAGGACTAGAAAAAAATTATGTAAGTGTCAGACTTAGGTATCAATGATGAACGCTTTTGTGAAAACTAGCTTGTCACAGGGGAGGAGAACTTGATCAACTCACTTTCATTTTAAATTTTAAAGGGGTCTGTGGATTTAAGACCAATATCACATCTTTCTTGGATGTGTTGTGGACGTTTAACATCCAAAGTCGTTTTTATAGATATTTTTCTTTCCTTCTCTGGTCTTGAACCTATGACTAAAAGTCTGAACCCATAGAATTAGGTTCCCCTTACAGTTTTAGAGGAAATTTCCCAGAAGAAAGTTGATCTGAGGACAGAGAGATGTCAGCTGATCTAAGTTCACACAGCCCTTTGAGATAAAGCCAGACGTGAACACCTCTCCCAGTCTTACTTGGGTGCCGTACTTGTCATTCTCAAAATACCACATTCAGTGTGTGTAGGGTGTGGTGGCCTTGCTGGTGAGCTTTCATGAAGAAACTAGAGAAAGTTTTACAGAAAAAAAAAAAAGAAACGAGCCAGCCTCCTTTGGCTCTCACGGTGACAGCCTGACAAAGCAATAGCAATATAAAATCAAACAACTAATATATCATAAATGCTGACTAATGGTACCTCCTTTCAAAGGCATCAGGTTATCTCCATCAATTACTATATTCCAAGTGCTTTTCACACATGATTGGCTCTCAGCTTTCTGACAGCTTCAAAGGTTTGGTGTTGCTTTGGTTCTTTTAAGGTGAACAAGCTGAAGCTCGGCAGGCAAATAGCCAATGTGACAGAGCTGAGGTTTGGTCCTTTCTGTTTTGACCACGGCTACCACCTTCTCTAAACTGTCTCAGACTCATTTGGAGCCTCACTCAACAGCAAGCCTTAATATGGCTATTGCTGCTGTGGAATAAACTTTGTTTGTTTGTTTAAATACCTGTAAAATTAGCTTGGTTATCTCCTCTGTCAGTTCAAGAAGCATCTCCCATACTAATGGGTATGGTCTTTGTATTTGATGCATTTTATAGAAAATCTGACAAATTAAAACCTTTAGCATCTGGTGGCAAGCTAAAATGTATGAAAAAATAAATGGAATTCTGAAAACACTTGTTCACCATTTATAATTTTAAAAATTGTTTGCACTAAAACATGTTTATTTTTTTAAAAAAATCTATAAAATTTAAAAATCAGAACTTTTTTTCATTAAAGTCTAGCATTTGGCTGTCAATTGTTTGAATCAAATTATTTCTCCAATGTATATTTTTTATGTTTAAAATGTGTTTTAAATCAATATGTCATTATTTTTATTAAAATATCTACTTTTGAGGCTGGAATAGTATTTTTGTCTTCCACAAATAGGTCATGGTTTCTGATAAATCTACTGGTCTGGTTAAGTAAAAACAAAGACAACTTAGTGACTTTAGAAGAATAACCTTCCCTGGTCCCCTTTGAGTTGAGGGTGGAATTCATAGGCACAGCATAGAGTATGGTGGCACTGTGGCTATAGAGAACAATGACAAATAGCAGCTCAGGGAGCCTGTCTCTGGACTAATGAGCAACTATCATCTCAGCCATAAGTTTATTAGAAGGTGTAAGGTAAATGATGCTGCACAGCTCTCAGATCTGAGTGAGATGCAAAAATGTCTCTTTCTTCTGAAATTCACTGAATATTTCAATCTAAATTTATAGAGTCAAAAGCACCATAAACGCAGCCAACCTTTACTGAGTGTTTACTATAAGCCAGCCACTAGCCTATGCACTTCACAGGTGTCAATCAGTCTTGTTCTTCACAATTAGGTGATGGTAGAACTGTTATTGCCTCCACTTTGCCCAGTGACCACATTTGCACAGCTGCTGCCTGGGAGAAACTTTGTTTAGAGCAGTGGTTCTCAATCTGTGAGTTATGACCCCATTCGGGAGTCAAATATCAGACACTTACATGACGATTCATAACAGAACGAAAATGACAGTTATGAAGTAGCAATGAAAAACTTTTATGGTTGAGAGGGTCTTCACGACATGAGGAACTGTATTAAAGGATCACAGCCTTTGGAAGGTTGAGAACCTCTGGTTTAGAGGCAGACAGTGTGAGTCTAGGTTTAAGGGTCTCCTACTCTTCTTTTCCATTGCCTCTGTGACACCCTGGCACACTGACAAGGTCCACCTACCACAGGCACCAAGAAACAAGAACACAATCCCCCAGTGTGGTAAGGGCCTCGGCGGATCTTTGTGGCTTAGGCCTCCTTGGTGCCATCATCTTTCCCAGTGAGAGCTTCCTATTTTGATGGGTGAGTCATCGGGTTATTCTTCATGATCTTCAGCTCAGCTTCCTCTCCGAAGGGCAGTTTATTTATGCTCAGGATGAGGCTTGCCCTAATGGCCACCTCTAATGTTCTGGTGGTCATTCCCGGAGTTCAAATAATCCTTATTCTTTTAGCAACATCTCCTTCCTAGACTTGAAAAACAACAGTCATTCCCATTTTATCAAAAGCAAATCCCCAAAGAACAGAACAAATGGCTGATGTATTCTTTATTCCTATGCCATCTGTCCAGGACATGGCAGCCTGCTTATAAATGCTGGGAAAAAAAAAAAAAAAAAAAAAAAAAAAAAAAAAAAAAAAAAAACGAGGGCTAGCCAGACACAGCAGGTGCCTTCTAATTCCTTCAGGAAATGCTCCCTGAGCAGTCACTACGCAGAAGGAACATGAAGCTCCACATGGAGAAGAGACACGTTCAGATATGAGGACTGGCAGGTTCCTTGCCCGTCTACTCCTTCCATTTAATTAATAAGCATTTACTGTGTGCTTTCTGCTCCACACCTGTACAGACTGGGGAAGCAAGGACATGAAAACAATGGAGACTACAAACCCCTGGCTTCCAATTTGATTTTGCCTCTTAACAGTGATAAACTTAGACATCTTTTCAAGCTGTGTGAGCCTCTGCCTCCTGGACAGCTAAGTGAGGGATTAACATTGTTGGTTAGCAGTAAGGATTAAAGGAGATCTCAGGTGTGAAGGTGTCAACCACTATCTCTTAGCATTTGCTTGGCAACTGAAACAAAAATCTGTTGACCTCAAAGAACCATGCATCCCTGGCAAGGGATCAGTTAGGATATGGCAGATAAAATGGCCAGATCGGCTCAGATTGACCTTGAAACGAAACAGGAGGGAACAGGGGTGTTTTCTTTTCTTGGGGAGATTATGAAGAACTGGACAGGAAGACATGGCAGAGAAAGATATCCCCCAAAGTAAAGAGAGTCTAACTGGGCAATTAATATGAATACACAAAGGGGATACACTGAGGCAGCCCAGGGAAAATCCTTGACTACATCTTGGAGGAGGAGTATTTTAAGGTCCAGGCATTGGGGCTCAGTTCTGCATGGTCCAGGGGTGTCTCTGTGGGTCTACCTGCATCATTAAGGGCTTGTATTTTTTATTCCAACTGTGGGTGTTGTGGGCACCTGTACTCTCACCTCTTGGGTTTTTCATGATTTATTTGTATGTTTTATACATGGTGTCTGTATGAGTGAATACTGCTTCACATGGAGGCTTGAGGAAGGTGTTTGATCCACCGGAGCTGGAGTTACAGGTGTTAGAAGCAACTAAATATGATGTTGGGAGTCAAAGTCAAGTCCTCTTGAACAACAGTGAGCCAGCACTTTTAGCCACTGTGCTGTTTCTCCTTCTCATACCCCTTAGATCTTAACTAATATATAGTTTTTCCTGCTTAGAAAACAAGATTGCCTCCCAGAATGCTTTCACATTCATTGTGTCTCTTTGGTGATAATGTAATCTAAGAAGTTTGGGCTCTCTGGCAGAGGGGAGGCCAATTTACCAAGGAAGTAAAGCACGTGGGGAAGGCAGATAGCTTGTCTTTGGCCACAGCTGTCACATGGTTCAGCTAAGATGTGGACATTGTTGTTTCTGACTTCAGGAATCTTTTCCGGAGTGGGGTTTAGGGGGTGCAAACATGTCCGAGTGGTGACATTTTGACAGCAGGCCCTCCAGCTGTGATTTGTAGTAGTTAAGTGCTATGAAATGAAATCAGCTGTAGATATTATCCTTCTGTCTTGGCTTAGCCTATTGGTGCCTTTCTTCTGGCTGCATCCCAGGTTTTTTAAAGGACATCAAAAGAAATTGTTATTGACCAGACTCTGGTTATTTATAATAGACATTCCTTCTCTCAGTTTTGCTGTCCTCCATGGAAGAGCTGGGGTCTTAATCTGAACCTTGGGGAATCAGAAGCCCCATTCACTTTATTTAGCTTTCAGGACATTAGATTTTTTTTTGTGTGTGTGTGTGTGAGAAGCTCTAAGTTTCACTGATGATAAAAGTAGCCTGTGCTCAACGTCTTGACCATTTAATGAACTTGTCTCTTTTTAGTCCAAATTTACCCTCGTGTTTTCCCAAACTAAATATTCCTTTGTATTCCTCGCCCCTCCCCACTGCACTTGGGAAGTAGAAGCAGGGGAATCTCTGTGAGTTCAAGGCCGGCTTGGTCTAAATAGTGAGTGTCAAGACAGCCAGAGCTGTTCTAAACCTGTTTTCAATCTGGTCTTGAAAAACAAAACAACAAACTCCCAAAACTAACAAATTAAGACAACATTTTTTCCTTTTTTAATTTAAATTAGAAACAAGCTTCATTTACATGTCAATCTCAGTTTCCTCTCTCTCCCCTCCTCCCCTGTCTCCCCACCAGCCTCCATCCCATCTCCTTTCTACTCCCTGGGGGGCCTTCCATGGGGATCTTAAATATCAAGACATCAATTTTAAGCATACTCCAGAGGAAATTTACTTAATATAAATTATTTATGTTTAAAAAATGTAACTATACTCATTCAGTAATTTATCTAGAATTCTGTGAAGTCTACTTTGGGGGAAGGCTTGGTGTCTGTGTTGTGCAAAGCTTGTACATTTGTCCTTGTGCACAGTAAGTAATAAGTTATTTTTGTAAATGGCTTCACTTAGAAATCATATACATGTCTCTCTGTGAAGGGAATGTCTATTACCCATAAATATACTATGTCTGTAGCTTAATATGTGTTCACAGTCCTGCCTACTAAACACAATTTCCCCCTTACACACAGATGTATACACACATGCACACATAGACAGACACACATACAAACACAAACATAGATACACACTCAAACACACATACATACACCCAGGCACAGACACATGCATACACAGGCACAGACACATAGACACAGGCACACACATATACATAGACACACAGACACAAACACATACATATAGACACACATACAAACATACATACAAACACACACATACACATTCATACACACAGGCACACACACATACATACATATAAGACATAGACACACATACATGCATACACAGACACAAACACATACATATATACACACATACAAACAAGCACATGCCCCCCCCACACACATAGATTCATAAATTCACAATCGATTAGCTATATCTTGCTCACTTTTTGTATCCACTGGATTGCAAGTCTGCAAGTCACCCACAACATTTGAATGCTTTCTTTTGACAGGGCTGATTCTAGGCACCATCAAATGTATCTTATGTGCCTCTCTAATACATAACATTTTTCTTAAGTGTTATGTAACTGAGGTATTCAGACACTTTGGACTTTAGTTTTCTTATTGGAGACAACAATAGGATCTACCTCTGCTAGAATCAAATGGAATGCTGGGAAATAGGAAACATCTGAGCCCCTGATATGTACTCAATACATGTTTGTTAATATGTCAACAGTGTGTTTTTGTCAAGATTAAAAGGGTTGTATAACGACGTGAGAAACCATAAGTAAACTTAGGTATTAGATCAGGTATAAAAATTCAATAGTTCTTAAAGTTATTTCTACATTTATTGCACACAGTCTGCCCATTTAAGCAAGGTGTTACAAAAGGCTTACAAGAGGCTGGAGAGATGCAGTAGCATCTAAGAGTCCTCCCAGCTTTTCCAGAGGACCTGAGTTTGGTCCTGGCATCTGTATCAGGTGACTTACAACTGCCTAGAACTCCAGCTCCAGGGAATCTGATGTCCTCTTTTGGCTTCTAGGATACTGACACACATGTGACATAGACTCACATGGACACATATACATAAATAAAAATAACCTTAAAAAATTAAGGAAATGCCTCACAATAACATATGCAAACAACATCCTGGTTAACATATGGATTAGAATAGTTAGGTCATTTACTGATATTTGGGGCTGTCTGTCTGTCTTTTACAGACTACTGGTTGAAGCTGGAACCTTATCTCTCCTAATCCTTAGTTTTCACAATTGCTGGGGGAGGCATTATCGCTCCTCGCATCTGAGGGGGAGTAAAGTGACTTGCCCTAGTTCTCACCACTTAGTATGTGGTTAGGCTTGTAGAAATGTCCCAGAGCCCCAGATCACAGGCCACCACCCCTAGGAAAGAGCCAGGAGTCAATTACCCCTTGGGATGAACTTCAATCACCAGGTTACCTTCTCAAAGTCAAAGCTGTGCTGAGGGGCACTAAGGCAATAACCCACTTGGCACTGGCTAGGTCTGTCCTAGATTTTGGCCCTACTGCTTTCTAGCTGTATGACCTGGGGCAGGTAACACATTTCCCTTTGGTGACTAGTCTGTAAGAAGAAACAGAGAGTCTTTATGATTCCTGCGGAGATATCGCACTGATTGCAAAGACAGGCATTGGAACATAAAGTATTGGTGTGCTAAACTAAATACGCAGGTCTGCCTTTGGTCTTGATGGCCCTGAGGCTGGAGAGGTTTGACTCAGAGAGAACGTTTGAATGTTGAAGGAGCATGTCCAAAGAGGGAAATCCATCCAAAAAAGAAAGGATTGTGCATGGAAGCAATGTGAGCCTGTGACTGCTCAACCCTTTGGACCTGGCGAGAATACACAGAGCATTGGAAAGAATGAAATTGGGGTCAGAAGGTCAGAGTTCAGCATTTCCTAGTGTTGATTTAGCTGTATCGTAACTGGATCGTTCTCCTGAGCCTCAATTTACCAGCTGAGGGAAAAAAAATGCATCAAGAATATGCAATAACAATGCATCAACAATGACGTTTCCTGTCATTGTTACAATTCTATCCCAAGTTCCAGGGCCTGTAGATGAAGGCGGGTGAAGTTGTGGGTGAGCCTAGGTTAGCTCATTAGTATGAACTGACTGGAAATACTGCGTACTTCAGAAACAACCTCGTCCCGAGGTATATGTGTATCTTTTGGAAATAAAGATCAATGCTCATCTTGATTCCATCCCTCGTATTGCAACAAACTGGAAAAACGTGTCTAAATCAGGCAAGAGTTGGATCTATCGGCGGCTCTGAGCCATCATGTGACATATACACTAAGGAAACGAATTGGGGCCTAGGATTTCCGACCATGCTGTCCCTCAAGGGATGAAAGCAAATCAGCTGTGGAAGTGCCTCTCTGACCACAGGAAGGCCGTCAAAGTGGAATAGAGAAAAGGGGAGTGGAGTAGAGGAAGGGGAAAGGAGAGGCAGAGAGGAGTGGAGAGAGAAGAGAAGGAAAAAGCATTTGCTGAGCAGCACTTCACACACTGCAAAGCCCCCCCCCCCAAAGAAAATGCTGTCCTATTCTGCTTTCCAGTCATCTTGTGATTACTAAACTATCCCGGAGGAGAAAATAAAAGTCTAGGGACCCGGAGGGATTGACAAAGGCCATGTAAAACAGACTCATTCGGGGTTCTCGTTCATTCTCCTAAGGCACTCCTTGCTGTGTGCACTGATGTGATTTCTGGGAGGTAGGACTGTCTTCGCCCAGTGTTCTAGGAATACCTTCCACACAAGACCTGTGTAACATTCCAACTGATTTGACTGACTCAAAACCTGGGGTCCAACGTTTTATACAAAGCCAGGTGCTCAATGCATGTACAGCCACATCAGTGAACAAATCTCCAAGAGTGGCTCCTTAAACTGGGGGGTCATAAAATTAGATTCCTTCATCCCTCCGCTTTGTTCTCCAGTGAGGAGATTTGGGCAAGACTGTCTACCAGATGTGATCACTAATCTTTCCAGGAATCAGTTAAGGCCATTGGTAATGGGTTTTGGTCACTCACTGAGCAATTTACACAGGGTCTGGTCTACTTAGAGAAGCTAACACTGCTTCCTTTACAACATGGGGTTGGGGGGTTGGATTTGTTTGCGACTCCTTTTGCAGAAGAAAAGACTTGGTGTTGGGGAAGTATGTAAGCTCAGCCTGTGTGAAGCAGCCTATTGCAGACGTGAATCGCCACTGAAGCCGGTTCCCAGAGTTGGCACACTGTGTGCATCTCTGACACCTCCAGACACTTCATTCCAGTTCAGCAGGAACACAACCTGCCTCAGTCCAAACCACCTGATAGTGATAGTGCCCGTAAAACAAGATAATGGACACAATGGCTTTGTAAAGGCTGACACAGTTACATTGCACCTATGCCTGTCTCATGGTTCACTCAGACAGGAAATGATAGCTATCTGGATTTGACAAGGTGATGGAACCCACCCCAGGAGAGAGTGATAGGGCAGGACTTCTGGGCCCTTAGGTGTGGGAGTTGTCCACTTGACCAGTTGATCCTTCAGGAGTGTCCTGGAATTTGCCCTGCTTAGTAACATAGCAAGTTCAAGACCACATGGAGACCATGTCTAAAAGAAGCAAAAATTGGACTAGAGAGTTTGCTGAATGGTTAAAGGTACTTGCTTGCTATTCTAGGAAACCTGAGTTCAGTAGCCAGCACATTTAGACACCTTACAAGCATCTATAATTCCATTTCCAGAGACTCCATAATCTCTGTTGGCCTTCCTAGGCACTATTCTCTCTCTCCCTTTCCCTCCCTCTCTCCTCTTCCTCTCTGTTTTACACACATGCACGTAAGCACATGCGAACACGCTATAAATAAAATCTTGTAACTGACAAAAATTAGTTGACTCAGGGATGGTCATCATTGATTTTATATCAGAGAAAAGAATTACATTTTTCAGTTTGAATTATTTGTCAGATAGCATTCATATACAATCTCTTTTTAAAAATTCTTTATTATTATTGTTATTATTATTACTATTATTATTGGTTTTTCGAGACAAGGTTTCTTTGTATAACAGCTCTAGCTGTCCTGGAACTATCTCTGTAAACCAGGCTGGCTTCAAACTCAAAAAGATCTGCCTGCCTCTGCCTCTCAAGATCTGGGATGAAAGACATGTGCCATCACTGCCCTGCTCATGTATAATCTTATTAGAAGAGTAAAATGATTAAGCATAGTAACATTTTTTGTAATTACAAAGGTTTTAGAGTTTTACATTTTAATTTTTCATAATCTCGTATTATAAATACAGTGTGCTTTCATCAATCACGTTATTCCCAATTACCCTCTCTTATCTTTTCCTCTTGCTCTTGCCATTAATCCCTTTCTACTAACACACCTTTTCTTGTGTGTGCCCATTTCATTTAACAAGGGTTGCTTGCATGAACATGAATGAGGATTATTTACTTGTAGCCATTTTTCAGTGGCTACACCATTGGAGGAGGATATGTCTCTCCATCCCATTGCAACAATTAGCTCCGACAGCTCCTCAGGTAGGGGTGGGGCCTCAAGTGCCCACCCCCATCCATGATGTAATGTTGATGGGCCTATCTTGGACGGGAGTCACTGCTGCCATGAGTGTATCAGCCATGCCACATCTGATGACAGCATTTCCCAGCACATCTTCCTATTCTGTAGTTCTTCCTTCAGTCAAGATGTTCTCTGCACCTGGGAGGGGGTACTACAGATGTCCCTTGTAGGGCTGAGCATGTAACTGTCATTCATTCTCTACTGTCCTCTTATGGGTCTCTAGTACCTGCAGCCCACTGTAAATAGAAATGTTTCTGACCAAGGCTGAGAGCATTAATCATACCTGAGTGCTGTCTGACACCTCCCTACAATATTTTTTTAGTTAAAAATCTTGTTTATCATAATGTGTAAATGGTGTGTGTATCTGGGCATGCACCTGCTATGGAGTGCATGTGGAAGTCAGAGGAGATTTGTGTGGAGTCAGCCCCCTCCTCCTCCCTTTATGAGGGTTGCAGGGATTGAGCTTGGGTTGTCAGGCTTGCTCTGCAAGCTCTTTACCTGCTGAGCCATCTCTTTGGACCCAGACTTTTTAATTAATGAACAAAAAAATCTGATACCAAAAAGAAGTCAACCTATGAAAAATGTATCTCATTCTAAATACCCCTTTGTTTGGTTTTGTTACTGTTGTTTTGTTTTTGCTTTTTGATGCAGGCTTTTTAACCCAAGGTTACCTCAAATGTTCTACAAAGTCAAGAATAACCTTGAATTCCCGGTCGTTCTGCCTCTATGTCCAGAGAGCTTGGGATTCCAGACATGTACCACCACTCTCCACTGAATACTCTTCCATTAAGTATTTACAGAGTGCCTCTATATTCCATATGTATTTCTAAGCAATAGAAATACAGACTTGGATGAATAAAGCAGAAACAGTCTCCAAACAACAGACTGTATATTTAGTGAGGGGGAGAACAAAAGAGAAGTTGCACATGGAAGACACAGCAGGGTTTCCTGAGGTCTCTCTAAGACTCTATTAAGCAAAGTGCAAAGGCCGCAAGGTCAAGCATGTGCTGCTCAGTGGAGGTGATGCTGGAGTTGAGTCGTGAAGGGTTGTACCTGTGACAACTGAAAGGAACGTTCCAGACATCATTTGAAATGGTATTGTTGTGTGAATTTAATTGAGCATCCTTGGAAAAGCAAAGTGGCCAGAGTAGCCGGAGCAGAATGTGAAATGATGGCCACATATCAGCAGGGGAACCTGCTGGACATGAGGTTCTAACTCCACAGGAGACGGGGAGCCACTGGAGGGGTCTGATTACAAGTGCCACAGAATCCGACTTAGGCTCAAAGTGATCACTCCAGCTGCTATGAAGAGAGCAGAGTAGAGGATGAAAGGTTGTGGCTAGAAGAGCAAATGACTCATAGGTTATCCAGGAGTTTAGAAGTTAAGCAACCAATAGTCCATATTTTTCGGTCCAATTGAAGAGAACTCTCTGGGCTAACTTAATGCTATAGGCTTGAACTATGGGAGGATGAGTTCAGGAAAGTTTAAACTTGGCTCAAGGTTACAGGCCTACTTTACCTGTTTCTAACACATCGGAGAGGCAGATTTTCCTTCCAGCTGTTTCACACAGCCAACCCTTTTATACCTCGAGCTTCAGGTCCTTTATGTTGAGACCCTTCTTCTCCTACACAAACTCAACACCTTCCTTCTCGGTATCTGAGTCTAGACTCTCGATGCAAGGCTGGATATGAAGCATAATTCTTCTTGTTCGGTACCACTGTAGAGTGACGATGTTGTCAGCAATTAGTTGTGTCTTTCACAACAGCGGATTGAGAAGATATTAAACATTCTCAACCCAAACTGATGATGATAGCTGAATCACCAAAATACTTGATCTAATCATCACAGGCTGCATATGTGGACTGAAATGGCACACTACTCCAATGGACAGTACTATAGAACAACACAACAACAAATCCCTTTACTCTCACTCAAAACAGCATCATCAAGGCTTGCTCAGAGCTCGCTTCTTTACCAGGTACTATGAAGCAACCGATGTCTAGTGTAAGACTTCAGTCCTTTCCTTAAAGAATACTAATTGGTGCATTGGGGGAAAGTTGTCATTGTGGGTATTTCTGTAGAAGAATACAGTTTGGCTGTCTTCTTGCACTTTCTGTAATTCAAAATAAGTTCATGCAGCCATACTTGGGAAAGGCTCCAATTAATTCACCAAAATGCTCCGAAATGATCAGGTCAAGGGCTTCTTGGTAAATAAGGGAGACCAGAGGCTTGGAAAAACCTTTGATTCTCCTAAACACTGGAACTTTTTTTGTCATAGTTTTACAACATTAATGTGTCCTATTTGGGAGTGTATGGGGTGACCTGGAACTACTCTGGGGGTTCATGTTCCTAGAATGTCTGGGATCTAAAATCCCAAGGAAACATACATTTCTTCTGCCTGAGATGTCTTGCTAATCTCCAGAGGTGCTGGGGACTGAACCCAGGGCCTTGAGTGCTCATCAAGAGCCTTAACATTGAGCTAGACTCTTAACCTTCTTGTTACTCAGTGCTATGAGTCAAATTTTTATCTCTCCTTGAAAGCTGAACTCAAATATTACCCGTGTGTCATGACGATCCTTGTCCCTAATGTCTGTGAATTGGGCCATCATCCTGCCCTCGGGTATTGTGTCTGTTCTTTTCTTGCATGGTTGAAATGCATGTACCTGCCATTTTCTGTCCCCAGCTGCGTTTCCTGAGGTTGAGGTCATGCCTAACTCACCTGATTACTCTGCCTTGTGACTTACAGGGTTTTTGCTCCATGTTAGCTCAGTGTGCAGCTTGCCATTCCTTGGTGACTCTGTATGGCAGGCCCCAGGTTCAGCTGCTCTGACAGGGATACAAAATAAGAATGGCTAAAACAGCAGAATGGTTTCCTTCTCATTTACATAGCCAAAGTCGCCATAACAAGAGAATGGTGTAGTACCATACTGCATAGTTCTGGAAAGCCAGCCCTGCCCCTCTCAGCTAACACCTCCTCCAGACTGTAGCTGTAGCCATGTTGTTTGTGTGTCACACTGCTGGGTGGAGGACAGATGCTGTGAATAGTAAATAAGAAAGTTTTTGTAAAGTACACATGATAATTATTTTAAAGTAAGATATGTAGGTATAAAACAGAACAGAAAGCAGGTGAGGGAAGTGTCTGTGAGTGCTACCCGTCAGCCAGGGGAACCGAATTTGATTCTAAGCTTCTTGGAAACTAAGCAGAAAAAGAGAACAGGTTGGGTCAGTACATTTCTCTTTCTAAAGAGATAAAACTTGTGAAGTCATCTGCTGCAGAAACCGACTTTTCATGATTATTAAAATGAAAATATCATTTCCCCTCATCTGGAGTTTAAGCTTCAGCACAACTCTCTTACTGAGGAGTGAGAGGGGAAGGTGGAAGGTGGAAAGGAAAGGGGGAAGAGAGGAGAGAGCATGCAAGAGAGCCACGAGCAACTAGAGAGCAAGCTACCAAACTCCTCTAAGGCACCCTGCCCAGACTCTCAGCACTGCCTGCACCCCCACCCCACCCACTCCCCACTCTCAGGTCTTGGCTGGGTATCTGGCTTCCACTGTTGTCCTCTATCAAAAATGCTATCGTGAAGGACAATTGTAAATCAGCCCTGCCTGTTTCTCTGCTCCAGTATTTATACACTAGACATTCTTAATCATCTGGAACACTTGACCTTGACCAAATCATGTCCTTTATTTCTTTTGCATGAAATTTTACTGTTTTGTTCCTGATCTTGAAATGTTCTTTCTTGATTTCCCTTTGGATTTCTTGGGCTCCATTCTTCTATTAAACATGGGCATCTTCCTGGCTTTTTTTCTGGATTCCTCCCTGTGTCCCCCTTCTCTCCCTCCCTTTCCTGACTCCCTTCCTCCCTTTCCTTTTAAACTCTTTCTTTTTTCTCTCTCTTTCTAGGAGCTGACATCTACCCTTATGATTTTAATTTATTCTCTAGATTTTAATAATTCCCAATTTTCTTCACACTACAATACTTACTTGAGTCTATTCTTTTATATTTTGGAAATTAAACTTTAATTAATTATATGCATGTTTGTTTGTGTGGGTGTATATGCATAGGCATGTAAGATGCCACTGGAGTCCAGGAGAGGCCACTAGATCTTCTGGAGCTGGAATTATAGGTGTTGCGAGCCCCCAGGGTGGATGCTGGGAACGGAACCCTTGTCTTCTGCATCAGCACCAGTTCCTTATTTGAGGTTGGAATTTATTTATTCAAAATATATCCTGAATTTTTTAATTACAAATGTTTCAAACAAGCCAATGGTTTTACCCTCCTTACCTTTTTTTATTCCTTTTGTGTTTTGCATTTCAGTGAAGGCCTCTACCTTCTACTCAAAATTTCAAGCCTAAAGGGTAGTGGGGTTGGATGTGATCAAGATATGTTGTGAGTAGGTATAAAACCGTGAAAGAATAGATAAAAAATATTTTATAACAATCCTTGTCATTCTCTTTAACTTTCCCCTTCTCTCGCCCGCTCTCCAGTCTCAACAGCATTCAGACTCGGGCTATCCCTACTTCCTAAATCTCCCTTCAACTCCTCTATGGATCTTATCCCCAGTGTCACTGCCTGTGAGCCCCTGGAATTCTGTTGTAACTCATAGCCAAGCTCCTTGCCCCAGGCTTGCCATTCTCCACAAAGTGCCCCAAGTGATCCTTCTGAAGACACATTCTGAGCTTGTCTTAAACCGTAAAATGCAGTGGCTCCCAATAGAGCTCTAGTTTTATACTGAAGGCTAACTGCCCCTGGCAGAGCCAACTCCTACTGGTCTTCTGTCTTACCTCTTCCTCCCCAAACCACAGAGGACATCCTCTCTGACTGAACCACTTCTCAATGGCACTCGGTCATCTTGTGTGCTGTGCTTATCCATCCACACATCCTGGCTTATCAGCTTTCTATTCTCACCTTCAAACAATATATTTGTATTTTAAAAATAATTTTTACTTATTCTTTGACAATTTCATTCGTGTATGCAATGGATCATGATCATATTGTGGGATTTTTTAAAAAATGATTTGTTTTGAGGCGTATGGGTGTTTTGCCTGCATGTATATATGCACATACACAGGGTATCAGATCTCCTGGGTCTGCAGTTACAGCTGCCATGTGAGTACTGAGAATTGAACCCAGGTCCTCTAGAAGAGCAGCCTCAGAGACATCTCTTTAGCCCTGTCCTTTATATATTTATTCAACAAACACGAACTGAGTGCATACTAGGTGCCAGGCACCATACAGTCACTTGTAACATAGCAGCAAACAAGGTGCACATGGTCTCGGCCCCCACAGTGCTAGCCAAAGATGCCTTCCTTGATTTTTCAAGAGTGTATGTCTTCTGTGGCACTGTCTCCACGTGGAACTGTTTTCTGTGTATTTTAGTCAAGATCAACTATTTATTTCTACAGATGCTGTTAACAGATATTTCAGAACTGCAAGATACAGGGTCTCTATTAGTACTACTTAACTACTTACTGACAAAGGGAAGACACCCATAAAACGAAGTGTTATGGCTGTGTTCCAATAAAACTTTATTGATGTCCAGACAGATTTGGCCAGTGGCCATAGCACTCAGCGCTGAACAGCAAGAGTTAGATATTATTGTTTACTTTTGTATCTGCAGTGTAAGCACAGAATTTGACATTAAGACATACCAATAAAGGTTTGCTAGATAAACAAGTGAAGGATAAACAAACAAATGAGGGTTGACCTGCTTCCTGTTTTTCCTTTGTTCCATATGTCCTCAGTCACAGTATGCTCCTCATTTACTCTTTGTATTCAGTGGCTGCAATCATACCTGCAGTTGGTGCTTCACCTGCAGTGTTCATCTAAACAGTTCATTCAGTAAACGCCATATCATCATTTGGGTTCCTTTGTTAGGAGTAGTTGAGTATTCAATCCTGTGACCCTACCTCCAATCATTTCCTACAGCAAGCAAGCCTTTTTTCTTTCTAGGTGTGACTGCTACCTTTTGTGTTATCCATCACCTACCACAGACTTCGGTAATTTTATTTGTATGCTTGTGGATGTATAAGTGTGCGTCAGAGACGTTGTGGGTTGGGTTTAAGACTACTGCAATAAAGCAAAGCAAATGCTACATTAAAGTGAGTCACAAATACACACATTATATATGTGTGCATACATATATACTATATACGTCTACATATGTATACACATGTACACATAGATGTGCTTTTGTGTACCCTCGGCTGACATTAAACACACTATGTAGCTGAAGCAGGTTTTGTACATCTGACAATAGCCTGTAAAGACGTGTCTCTTCCTAAGGTCTATTTGGTTTAATAAAGAGCTAGGCAGGAGAGAATAGATGGGACTTCTGGGGGAGAAAGAGGAACTCAGGGTTAGAATCTAAGCTCACGGGAAATGCCAGCAAGACTCTGAGCAAGTCGGACATAATGAATGGAGGAGGCATAAAAAGCAGAACATATAAGAAAAGGTTAATTGAAGTTAGAAGAGCTAGTTTGGAACAAGCCTAAGTTAAAAGCCAAGCTTTCATAATTAATAATAAGTCTCCATGCTATTATTTGGGGTCTGGCGGTACAAGGAAAGTCTGATTACACTGTATTCCAGAGTGCTGGGATTACAGGCATGCACCACCACACCCCGTTTATGTGGTTCTGGGGATCAAGTGCAGGACCTTGCACGTGTTCACTATGCACTCTACCAACCACACTATAAAACCTGCTCCCACACTGACATTTTGTTTTCCTAGTGGATGTTCTTGCCTCAATTTTGATAGCTGTTGGCTGACCAGCTTGGTGGGTGGTAATAGTTGGGAGAGCTGCAGCAATTTCTTAAAACAAAATAATTCTTGGAATATTGGGCTAAAAGCATTAATGGACTTCTTCCTTCATGAAAGTTATCCCTGTAGTACAAGAAACTGCTTAATTACATTTTTTTCTCTTCTTCTTCTTCTTCTTCTTCTTCTTCTTCTTCTTCTTCTTCTTCTTCTTCTTCTTTTTCTTTTTTCAATACAGGGTTTCTCTGTATAACAGTCCTGGCTGTTCTGAAACTCCCTCTGTAGACCAGGCTGACCTCAAACTCACGGAGATCCACCTACCTCTGCACCCAAGACTGTCTTTTTTTGAGACAGTCTTACTGCATAGTCCTGGCTGTCCTGGAATTCACTACGTAGACCAGATTAGCCTAATGCTCTCCCTCCTGCTGGCATTAAAAGCATAGGTACTGTGCCTGGCTGACTGAGAACATCAGGTGTTCTTCTCAAAGAAGAACTGCTTTCCCTTCTAAATTTACATAATATTTCAGAGACTTCATGGTTATTTAACAGTGTTCATAGCTTCTTTGCCAAGAGTAGATGGGACTGTTCCAGACCCCAGGAACATGGGTTTCTGTGAGGAAACCTCAGAAATCTACGGGACCTCCTGTAGTAGTCCAGTACTTATCCCTAGCATAGGTGTGGACTTTGGGAGCCCATTCCACATAGAGGAATACTTCCTGAGCCAAGACACACGGGGGTGGGCCTAGGCCCTTTCCCAAAGGATACGATAGTCTCTGATGACACCCTATGGAAGGCCTCACCATCCAGGGGGAGCAGAAAGGATATGTGACAGATGGGGTTTTATTTGAGGGGGTAGGGGAGGACGGGTGGGAGAAGGGAACTGGGATTGTCATGTAAAACAATCCTGTTTCTAATTCAAATAAAAAAGGTTGGGAAAAAAAACGCCACTTAAAAAGCAAGTCTTAACTTCGTAAATTCTGTGGTGAGATTGCACCACTCAACTGCTTCTTCAGACTCCCCATTCTCCTCCTTTTGCTATTTGCACGACATCTGCGGTCATTCCTCCACTGAAGCCCTTCAAAGTCATTCACATACACGGGGGCCAGCTTCTTCTTAACTTCTGTTAATATACAAGACCTCCCATGGGTCACAAGTGTCTCTCATGGCACCTGGGAAGGTGAACCCTTTCCAAAAGTCTCCAGTTTACTATGCCCACACCCATCGGGTGAGTTGCTTATCTATGGTCTGATACGTTTCTAAAACTAAGAACTGAGTTTTGGAATTGCTCCTTGTAAGAAAAAATAGATGCCGAGCATGGAGGGTGCAGGGGCATTTAACGCACTGTGAGTCCCCAAATGAGCTCTTAGGCACTTTGTTAATGAGCAACAATACTTGAGATAAATAAACTTACTTTGGGGGGTAGTCGTCACAATAGTGGGTTTAATCTTCAGTAAACCACTTTATAAACAGATGAACTATGGCCCAGACTTTGTCCCACTTAGCCAAGACAGCAGAGTAGATACAGAGTAACCCTTAAGGGCTCCAGGCTTTTTATAGTAGTAAGTGAGCTTTGCCTTGAACTTTGAGTTACCAGCAGCTTGTCCCCTGGCAAAAGTCAGGCTGACCTTTGAACATTTGAAGCCAGCCACTGAATTCTCTGTAGCTCTGAAAGCCCTCGATAGCCTCCTCTTCCAAGACCAGCCTGCTTTGTTTACAGTGAAAATCTGTTACTGAGTGTCAGTGTCTTCACTGGTTTTAGTGGTTAGACCTGGAGCCTTTTGTGGCTCCTGCAGTGAGGCTTGTTGTGTCACACTGTCCTTCTTTGTTATAGAGATGGCACTTTTATTTTTTCTTCATGCCCTCTGAGCTAACCTCTTTTTCATTTTCTTCTGCAGCCTCCTTCCCTCTTTCTGTATTCACAGAACTGAAGAGAGCTTGGGTTTGAAGGAATGCTGTGGCTACTTTGATCTTCTACCTAGACCATGAACACCGTCTCTGTGTCATCAATAAGGCTGTTAACTATGTTATCACCCACGGGCTTGTTGGAGTTGCACCTTCAAACTGTTCCTTTGCATTCAAGTGGCTATTTTGTGTAAGGAGCCCAGTTTTCAATACATTTCAGCCCTTGGCAAACTTTCCTCTCTAAACATAACCATTTCTAACTTTTGAATTAAAGTAAGAAATGTGTGACTCTTCCTTCCATTTGGACACATCTGGGCCACCGTGACATAATTTCAATGCTCTTGTGTCTCAGATAAGGGGGAGTCCCAGGAAGAGGGAGAGAAGTGGGGAGCCAACCTACTGGTGGGACAGTCAGAACTCACACGGCATTCGTCAACTGATGTAGCTGCTTTTAAAATGAGAACCCATGACATCATGGACATTTACATCACAGATCACGGAGCAAAGAGCACAGTCACATACCTAGCAATAATGAAGTATGTGAAATATTGGCAAAATTATAAGCACGTGACACAGCTGGGCATGATGGCACATGCTTTTCAACCCAGTGGAGGCAGGAAGCAGGCATATTTCTGTGAGTTTTAAGCCAGTCTGTTCTACATAGTGAGTTCAAGGATAGAGACCCTATCTTAAGTGACACAGAGACACAAAAAGTATGCCATTGGGCAATTGGCATTGCTAGAGCAGTTTTTGTTTGTTTTGATGGTGTAGAGTGTGGGGATAGAGTCCAAGGTCTTCTAAGTACTTGACGAGTACTTCCCCATTCTGTTGTATTTCTAGTCCACTTAAAGACATGTTTGATTTAGGGCTGCTAGAACCCTTAAGCTGTAAAAGTATATTATCTACAAAACACAATAAAATGTCACACAGTGTAACAAGATATGTCTATAGGAATCCCTTTCCTATATAAAACTTTAAAACATTTTAAAATACACAAACTGAAAAATCTGCCTGCTGCAGGCGGGATGTTAGGGAAAAACCTCAATTAACTAAACATATAAATCATTTACTACTCACCGGGGAAAGTTTCAGTCTCACCAGGGCAAAGATAACTCAGATAAGGCAAAGAGAGCAAATGTCAATAAACAATTACAGTAAGTTTTTCTGAGTCTTCGAGGCAGTCGGTGATCAGCAAAGTGCTCCTGGACTTTCAGAGGAGGAAAACTCAGTCTTCGATGAAAGTGATTGGAGCAGGCTAGACGGGAGAAGAATTTGACCTGGAAGCTAGAAGGTAGGTCTGTATCTGGAGTGCAGCTATGACTCCAAAGTGCCTTGGTACAGAGAACCATACAGGCACACCTACAAGTTACTAGAAAGCAAGTTTTAATGAGGCCATGTCTAGGGAATGGCTGATAATGTGAAGTCGAATCTCTTCGAGAAGGGTGCTAAGTCCATGCTGGTGGGGAATGCATTGATAATTGGACATTAGGCTCATGAACTGTAAATGGACAGGCGTTCTGCAGTTCTCCCCATTAGAAGAGAAATCCCTTATCCTTTGAAGTAATTAGCACCAACTGGAGCATGTGAGCCAAAATAAATTACCATTGCCCAAACACAGATACAGTCAGTTCAATGGTCAAAAGACACGTGTCATTATTAGCTCCACTTACATAAACAAAACCGGGAGTAATTAGTGTTTAAAATTAGAAGAGACAAGGAGAGTTTCCTCTGGAAATTTTTATCTTATGGATCGATTTATAATGTTGATGATCCATTTGCCCTTCCCAGTCTTGGTCATGTTGCTTCATTGCTAAAGGATGATCTTTCTTTCCTGAGATTTGTGGGAGAACTCTGACTCTGTTTCATATGGAATGTTTGGGTTGAAATGAGGTGTCCTCTGCAAAAAAAAAAAAAAAAAAAAAAAAAAAAAAAAAAAAAAAAAAGTGTCTATGCTCTATTTCCTCCTTCTTTACCATGCCCTATAACTACTCCTCTTCTTCCTCTTCCTTCTTCATTTTTTTTTGTTGTTGTTTTGTTTTGTTTGTTTTTCCAAGACAGGGTTTCTCTGTGTAACAGTCCTGGCTGTCCTGGAATCCCCTGTGTAGCCTGGCCTAGAATTCACTGAGATCCACGTGCCTCTGCCTCACAAGTGCTGGGGTTAAAGGTTAGCCCCATTACTGCCCAGCTTCTCACATTTTCTTAACAGAGACCAAGACATATTAGTTGTTTTTCTATTGTTGTGATAAAAAACCATGACCAATCACTTCTTTTTAAGTGTTTCATTTGGCTTGTGGTTTCACAGGGTTATAGTCCCAGATGGTGGAGCAAAGGCATGGTGGCAAGAATAACCGGAACATCCACTGAAAGCTCCTATCTTGATCTACTAGCAAGAGGCAGAGTGAGAGGGCACACTGGGAATGGTGTGTGTCTTTTGTAACTTTAAAGTTCACACCCAGACACACACCTCCTTCAAGAAGACTCCACCTCTTAATCCTTTCAAACAGTTCCACCAGTTGGAAACCAAGTATTTGAGCATATGAGCCAAATGATGCCATTCTCATTCAAACTATCACACAAGGCAACTTGCTGTATCTCAATATTGATAGCAGGATCTGCCCTCGATGCCTCCAACTAGTGTAAATAATGTTGATTTGGACAGTGATGCACCACCTGTTGGAGAAGTCTCAGCAGCCCATGTAAAAGAAGGGTGGCATTTGCATTGACTTTGATATGATTCTCTACTTTAGAGTTCAAGAGTTTCAGGTTTGGTTCTTAATGAGGCAAAGTTGAGGTGATGGAACCTATAACAGGTAAAGAGTTCTTTGTGTATTTTGAGATGTTGTTTTTGGAAGGAGTTAAGGTTTTCTTATGAAAATGACTTAGTATGACATCTTGACCCTGAAGGCTGAGAAGACCATTCAGTGTTTTAGTACACTTGCTGCTCTCTCTGATGACCCAAGTTTGGTTCCCAGCATCCACATTCAGGACCTCACAACCATATGTATTTCCAGTTTCAGGGAAGCACTCACAAGCACATACGTGTATATGCACCCACACACATAGATAAAAATAAAATGAATCTAAAAAAAAAAGATAAAAATCTTGATCCTGACCCCTAACTGAGTTTCTCTCTGGCCTGGCCATCTCTCCCTCTCACATGAACTCCCATGACTCTGCTGGCATCTGTGGCGAAGTCTTCACCAGAGCCAACTGGATGTTAATGCTATGCTATTGAGCTGCTTGGACAATGAGTTAAATAAACATATTGATTTTATAAAGTTCTCCAGCCTTGGGTATTTTATTATAATAACAGATATCAGATTAATGCAGCAGTGAGACACGCCAGTGTATACTTTGAAGTCATCCTTGACATTTCCTCAACATGTCATATTTCCATCTAGGACTGAGCTTCACTGTTGGACTTAGGGGTCAGGAAGCCAGGGGTCAAACCTGTCATGGAGCTACTGAGGAGCAGAGAGGAAACACAGTATGATAGCATAAAGAGGACACTGGCTAATGGTTGGACAAGACTGAGTCTCAGCTGTGTCATGCACTTCTATGTAGACCTGGTTAAGCCACTTGTTCTCTGGGTCTTAGTTTCCCTGTTCATAAAATTAAGAACTTGATTGGACTACCTTTCTTTACTAGGATCCATGTAGATTCTTATTGGTTGGTGGTGTTTGGGTTTTTACCATTGTAACACAATAAGTCTTTTGCTTTTCCCTTTCTACCCAGTGGCCTGGAAAAGATGTGGTTATTGAAAGATATAGTGCTTAAACATTTTTGTTCTTCCTTTGCAAAAAGTGTGAAAGTATTTCCCATATTTCCTTTCCCCAAAGATTGTCACTTAAAAACACATAATTGATTTACAGTACACAGAAGGCCTTATGCAAGGCATGGGAGAACCCACAGGTCATTAAGAAAGACTGAGAATCAAACATAAAGTGATGGGATCCGGGAATATGACCTAGAGCTGAGAGAGGAGTTTGCTTAAAATGACATATTACACACAGAACAATTCAGGCCTCCTGCTTTTAAATACCCATGACTTTTCCCTTTTGCCTTTAGAATGTTCAATCTTGAATTGGGGCTTACAGATGGATTAAGACATGCCCATTTTCATCTAAAGATTCAAAGCTTGATCACAAGTCAGAGTGGACATGTTGTATTTCTGGGGCTGAGTTACCTCACTCAGTATGTTTTGTAGTTCGATCCATTTACCTGAAAATTTCACGGTTTCATTTTTATTTACAGCTGAGTAGAATTCCATTGTGTGTGTGTTTCACATTTTCATCATTCATCCATTGGTTGACAGACATCTAGGCTGCTTCTATTTCCTCATTATTGTGACTACAACAGCAATGAACACGGGTGAGCAAGTACGTCTACAATAGGATATAAAGTGGGCAGACACTAAGGAGTTGGTATAGTTGGGTCCTTTGGTAAACTTATTTTTATCTTCTCCACACTGGTTTCTACTGTGGCTACATCAGTTTGCTGTTCCACCAGTAGCAGATGAGACTTCACGAGCGTTTGTTGTCAGCTATTTTCTTGATCTTTGTCATTCTGTCAGTGATAAGATGAAATTTCAAAGTAGTTTTAATTTACATTTCCTTGATTGCTAAAGACAGAAACCAAAGATAGTTCTTAGCTGTAGCTATTTTTTACCTTTTCTTTTTGAGAATTCTCTGTTTGGTTTCATAAAACATTTTTAAATTGGGATATTTGTTTTTTGATTTTTGTGCTTTGAATTCTTTGTATAGTCTGGCTGTTAATCCCCTCTCAGATATAGAGCTGGCAAAGACTCTTATTCCCTGATTTCCTCTGCTCTCAACTGATATTTTCTTTTTAATTTTTATGGGGTCCCAATTGCCAGCTGCTGGCCATAATTTCTGCGAGAAAAGGGTCCTGTTCAGAAAGTCCTTTGTTGGGCTATATCTCTTGGGGTTCTCCATATGCTTTTCTCTAGCAGTTTCAGTGCTTAAGGTTTCACAATGACTTATCTGATCCATTTGGAGTTGATTTTTGTGCATGGTAATAGATATAGGTCCAGTTTCATTCTTCTACACATGGACATCCAGTTTCCCCAGCATCATTTGTTGAAGATGTTGCCTTTTCCCCTGTATGTGTTTTTGTCATCTTTATCAAATCTCAGATGGCTGTAATTATATGAGCTTAAGTTTTGGTCATATGTTCTGTTTTCATTGATCTACATGTCTGTATTTTGTACTAACATCATGACATTTTTATTACTATATTTCTAGCACTATTCTTTTGCTCAGGATTGTGGCTATCTGGGTTTCTTT